ATGAAAGTTCCAACAAAATACACTGAAGTTTGTGGTTGAAATGTGACTAAATGTAAAAGAGTTAAAGGGATATGACCAGTTTCACAATGCACTGTCAAACATTTCCACTGCAGAGTGAGACTTGACCCCTGTGCACATGGCCAATGCCAAACAACCCTTGAAGGAGGATGTTTTTCAATGAGAGAGCTTACCTTAAAGTACACAGTAGCACACACCAAAATGTTTTATCTTCTACTTTCAGGTTCTAAAATTCTCTTGTTTATACTTTATCAACACAGATAAGCTAGATAATCTCACTGCAAGACAAATGCTGATTTTCTCTTTCTCTTCTTCTTGAAGTTGGGGGAAACTTCTGATTATGAAAAACTTCACAACATGGTGAAATATTTGGACCTGGAGCTGCACTTTGGGACACAGAAAGGCTCGTGTGAGTGCATGTAAAAGGATGTCCTTATCGTGCTTAAATTTGAAGAGTCTGTACTCAGACTATTATTTACCATTATTTATGATATTTAAATGAATGAAATATAATTTTTATAAGCCAAAAATTATAAGGAGCTTTAGTTTTCTTTCATTAGATAACTCTCTACTATTTAGTGTAAATCCTGATTTGTTGGGTTTGGAGGCTAAATTTAAAGTCCAAGAGCGACCAAATCCAAATCAGGCTTCAGCTATAATTCAGCTATTACTCTCATCTTAAAGAAATATTATTTATGCAAACAGCAGTGGAAAGTCACTATGGGCATTTTCAAACATGTTGAGGTCATGTATTTTTTTAAATCAAAAACTTGCTTAAAAAATATCCCATAATTTCAAATTGAACTTGTAAATTTAGTCCCAATAGAAATAAACATAAATGTTGTCAAATTTGTAGTGCCCGCTCCAGAGCCTCTGCCGCACCTGGAAACCTTCAAGAAGAAAGATGTTATAGAAATCCTGTCCCACAAGAAGGCTTATAATGCCTGTAAGTACAGCATTGTGCCCTACATACCAATATTCCTCATTTTAGTTTTCTATCCAACCTCTGCTTTGTGTCATCCGACAGCCATCCTGATAGCCCACTTGAAGCTTTCTCCCGGAGAGCTGCGTCAGGTACTGATGAATATGGCTGCAGACAGACTGGAAGCAGCTCACATTAAACAACTGCTGCTGTACGCTCCTGATGCGGAGGAGGTGAAAAAGTACGAAGCATACAGAGAGGACCCTAGTAAACTCAGTGAGCCAGACCAGTTCATGTTACAGGTAAAGTCCTGGCACGTTGTGGAGCTAGTGTTGTTGTTGCCGTGCAGCTGCGAAGGAACAGAGTTTCACCATGGTGATGATTCGAGGGTTGTTGTTGATGTCTGTCAGATGTTGTCTGTGCCAGAGTATAACACCCGTCTGCAGAGCCTCCTCTTCAAGTGTTCCCTTCAGGAGAAGACAGAGGAGCTGAGGGGAGCGTTTGACTGTATCATTAAGGCCTCTACGGAGCTGAAGACGAGCAAGAAGCTAGCTAAGATACTAGAGGTACCCTTCTTCCAAGAAAATGAATTAAAATAGCAAATGCGTTACACATTTGTGAAACTTTCACACATTTGGTAGGAGAACATTCCCACTCATGACTCTGTAACTCGGAATACAAATCCTTAACCTTCCACCGTACAATTTTGCCCTACTTGGAATTTTTTCTATTGCCTGAAATCCCAATAAAACACTTTGAGTTTTGTGCTAAGTGTAAAATGATCACGGAAAGCATGAATTTTGCACAGCACAGTTGATATATTCAGTTTGTTCTGTGTTGCTGCAAAAGCATTTCTTATACCACTTTTCCCCCATAACATTAATCTTTTATGTAGTTTGTGCTGGCGATGGGGAACTATTTAAATAACAGCCAACCTAAAACCAACAAGACCACAGGCTTCAAGATCAACTTTCTGACAGAGGTACTGCAGTTTGTTTGCCGTAAATTGTTTGTTATAGTTCCGGAGTCCATTTGACATATTCATCAAACATCCTGCCTATGTCCTGTTCAGCTGAGCACCACTAAAACCGTTGATGGGAAGTCGACGTTTCTGCACATCCTGGTCAAGTCGTTGTGTCAGCACTTTCCGGAAGTGTTGGACTTTTCCAAAGACCTTAATATGGTCCCCCTTGCAGCAAAAGGTAGGAAAACACATTAGATGTTCAACTTTTATTTTAAACCCCTTCTCCACACAAACTCGCACTCCTTTCCAGTGAACCAGAGGACCATTACATCGGATGTGAGCGACATCCACGCAACGATACAGGATATCCGCTCAGCTTGTCAGAAGATGCCTGCGACCGCAGAGGATCGCTTTGCGGTCGTCATGAGTGTATCCTTTAGAGAGAAAGGAAAGCAGCAGAGGGAATTATTATCTACTTTGGAGAAATGAGATGCTTTAGTTCCTTAACTTTTAATGTGTGCAGAACTTCCTGGAAAACAGTCATCCATCTATCCAGTCCCTGGAATCGCTCCAGCAGAGAGCCATGGAAGAATTCAGCAAGACAGCCTCGTACTTTGGTGAAGATGGCAAAGCCACCACTACAGAGGCTTTCTTTGGCATATTTGCAGAGTTTATGAACAAGTTTGAGGTAAGGAAGTCATGTTTTGCCATTAACTATTTAGATGTTTACCAAATTTAAACTTGCATGCACCATATCTTCTTCCTTTTTTTTTGTAGTTTGTTTTGCACATGTATCTGGCATAAGCACGTCTTGAACTTTTTCACCTTTTATCACTTGAGTATATTGCATTCAAAAGGTATGTATTCCTTTACTCAAAATCCCCAAAATATTCATTATAGTTTGTGGCTGCAACATAATGAAATGTGAAAAAGTTCAGGGAGTACGGATTTGTTTTCATGCCATTAGACATACAATGATTTAATGAATCTAACAGATATTTTTGTTTGCTTTTTTTCACTGCAGAGAGCTCTCAGCGATCAACAAGCGGCAGAAATCCCAAAAAGCCCCAGGAGCCCTCGAATGGCCTCCCCCCAGGCCTGGTAACACACATTCACATGTGCAGACGAGAAGGAACATTGCAGCAGCTGAAACACTTTACACACACATACAAACCCGAGGTACGTGTACCGTGCACAAACATGTGCACACAAGCGAAATGAAAAAGAGAAACTAAAGACAGACATTTCCTACGCTAAACCTGTAAATGTTAGTGTTCACGTTGCATCCTGCGGAGAGAACAAAAGGGATTGTGATCAAGAACCTTGTTCAGTTTTCGGTGTAGCTCGACTGTCTAAAAGGTAGATACTCAGTAATGTACCTTAGTTTAAGTTTAACTTCCATAATCACCCATTAGTGAGGTACAATGACAATAAAATAGAATATTTGTAGCAAATCTTTAAATAAGACGTATTTATATATTTAATCTTGACATAGATATGAACTTTAATCAAAACTTGTTCACTGCACTCTGTGGTTCTGCAGAAATCACAGAAGCTGTGGAAGCTTGTTCTTTACTTTTGTCAGACACCCACCACTTTGAATGTAACATAAGCTCTTTACTAAGTGTTTTCTTAAGTAAATCTCAGATTAAAGGCTGTTTTGCTCGCTTTTGTGTACCTTAACCTCACTGTCTGCAGACTTTTCTTCTTTTGGATGATAACTTCTAATTATTACAACTTTTATATAGGAGGTAATGTCTGCACGGGCTGCAGCTGGCTATTTGTTTCATAGAAAATAATGTAATTGTAATCTGAATACAGAGAGAAGATTGCAGAAGTGGGAACCATGTGAGTCTTAAATCGGGCGTGGTGCAATTTCCAAATGTTTTTAGCTGTGCTGCACTGTTAGATACGGCACTCATTAATGTGTAATAGAGATGCATCATCTGGTATCTGTACAGGATGAGAGTGTAAAATATGTATATGCTGCAACTCGGAGCACTGTTTTCTCATTATCCCTACATTTCTTTAATTTTGTTGTATTTAACTGGATTTTAATGTGTTTCTGGGCCAACCATAGTAATACTCTACTAAAAGGGAACAGTGATGTTCTTTAGTTTATAGTGAAACTGATTTACCTTGATATTAAAAATAACTACAGCATTTAAACCCATTGAGCTTTTTCAAATTTGTCACACTGCAATCACAAACCTTAATGCGCCTTATTGGATCTTATGTGACAGACTAACACAAGACAGTGCATCGCGGAAGCAGAGAAAAAAAAGAATCAACTAATTTTTGAAAAAGATAAAAGATCTGAAAAGTGTAGCATGCGGTGGGCTTTAACCACCTTGAGTCAATATTAAAGAATAAAAAAACAGTCAAATCGGATGGAGAGTGCTTGTAACGTACGATGGATTCTCAATGATTTGGGTCTGGACTTTGACTAGGTCATTCTAACTCTGGATGTCGTCACCAAGACCAAACTAGGAGATGAACCTGTGCTTCAAAGTTGTTTTCTTCAATTTCCAGGCAACTCTGACCTGCTTTCCTCTTGTCACACTTTTCATTACTTACATGAAAAAAAGCATGCATCTTTTTCCTTCCCTTGAACAATTATGTACTGCCTTAACTGTGCATAACTGTTAAGGCAGTTAACAGTTATGCACAGTAATATCTGTCATGTGAAATTACAAAATAATTGATCAAAGTTTGCTGTTGTGACATGATACAAAAGAGAAAAAGTTCAAGAGGGCGATTAGTATCTTTGCAAGGCCCTGTAAATAAATGCATGCCTTAGTTTTTACTATTTGAAGTGCAATTGTTAAAAAAAAATGTTTAAACCACTGTAAGCACTGTTTTCAAATGATATACTAGTACATGCTGTTTTTTGCTTGAGTACTAAAAAGCTATATTTAAAGCACTGCTCTCCATTTACCATATATAAAATATTACATCTGTATTTTTTATTGTGACAAATAAATTCAGACAAATATAAAGAGTTGCATGGAGACTGCTTTTGTTGTATTTTTCGATCATTAACTTTTGCTGCACCGAAGAGAATAGACTGGTTAGTAAGGGAAATTTTCTTTGCCAATTTCCTCCGACCTTTTTATTGTATGAATATTTTTCTTTACGACTCCTTTATGACCATATTAAGCTCCTGCTATCGCTGCAAGCAGTTGGTCTGCAGAAGCGGGCATAAGTAGTATTTTTTGTGCCTGTAAGTGTTTACAGACACATGAACTCAAATAGGTTGCTCCACTTGTTCTGCCCTTATTTCGTCTCGTGAGTAATTTGGATGAATTTAGACCCCTTTCAGCAATCATTCGGCTATTTACAGACACGAGGAAACTCTCTTTCACACACCTGCCTGTGAGAGGTGTAATAAATCCCTTACATTTTAACTAAACCTTGTTGTGCATGTTGGGAAAGTGGAGTTTGAACCTTATGATGTGTAGAAGACGATTCAAGACAAAGGCCAGAATACAAGGACTGTCTGTGGGCTACTGTTGACATGCTGTGTTGTTTGGATGCAAGGCAGACCCATGGTATGAGACTCAAGAGGACAAATTACTGAAAGGTGAGTTTATCAAACATTGCAAACTGTGACACGCTGTAGTTTAAAGATCTTTTTGTACCTTTTACTGCAGTAACTAATAACATACTTACATCAAAGGTTAAAGCTGACTCTTCATTTGATGGTACAAATCTGCAAGAAGTGTCAAGAAATGAGAAGGCTGAGATGACTGCCTTTACCCGTGGAAGGGTTATAAATATAAAATGTCAGATCATGCTGGCAGGGAGTAAAAAAGAAACAAACAAAGCAAGCGCCTCCATACAAAAGACTGCAGAATACTGTAATACTAATGAAAAGCCCCTTTTCTGCTTCAGATGAGTAAACGTTCTTCTCTGTTCTTAGCATGAAACAAACTTTGTTGCATTGTCAAGTCTGGTTTTAAAACTTTACACAGCACCGAATCTGCATTGTTGAGGGTGTTTAATGATATCCTTTTGGCTACTGATGCTGGAGATCCAGTGATTTTAGTTCTTTTAGATTTGACTGCAGCCTTTGATACGGTGGACCATGATGTTTTACTTTCCCGTTTACAGCATTATGTAGGTCTCAAAGGCACAGTCTTAGTGTGGCTTAGGTCGTATTTGACGGATAGGTCTTTCTGTGTTGACATAGATGATTTTAGATCATCGCCTGCTCCTTTATTGTGTGGAGTACCGCAGGGCTCGATACTTGGACCTCTTTTGTTTTCTCTATATTTGCTTCCCCTTGGGTCAATATTTAGGAAACACAACATTGCTTTTCATTGCTATGCGGATGATACACAAATTTATGTGCCTCTCAATCATAAGGGAGT